ATGGCTCCTTTGAGCGTTATAAGGCTCGTCTTGTTGGTGATGGCAGGTCACAGGTTGCAGGTGTAGATTGTGACGAGACTTTCAGCCCCATAGTGAAACCCGCTACCATTCGAACAGTGCTTACCATTGCTCTCTCTAAATCCTGGCCCATTCATCAACTGGATGTCCAGAATGCTTTTTTTACATGGTGATCTTCAGGAGACTGTTTACATGCATCAGCCATTGGGTTTCTGCGACCTTCGTCATCCAGATTATGTATGTCAGTTGAAGAAGTCATTATACGGTCTCAAGCAAGCGCCTAGGGCATGGTACCAACGTTTTGCTGACTATGTCGCCACCATTGGTTTTCGCCATAGCACATCAGACCACTCCCTCTTTATATATCGCCAAGGTTTAGACATGGCCTACATTCTACTGTATGTAGACGACATCATCCTTATCACCTCCACTCAGGTCCTCCGCAAATCAATTGTGTCACTCTTAGCATCTGAGTTTGTAATGAAGGATTTGGGCCCTCTGAGTTACTTTCTGGGTATTGCAGTATCTCGTCATCCTGATGGCATATTTTTCAGTCAAAGCACTTATGCTTCAGAGATCATTGAACGTGCTGGCATGACGTTCTGTAAACCATCAGCCACTCCTGTTGACACCAAGTAGAAACTTAGCACCTCCTCCGGCACTTCTTATGAGGATCCATCCTTGTATCGGAGTCTTGCAGGGGCCCTACAGTATCTCACCTTCACTCGACCTGACATATCATATGTTGTCCAGCAAGTTTGTCTTCACATGCATGCCCCTCGCACAGAACACATGTTTGCTCTTAAGCGTATTTTGCGCTATGTTCAAGGAACTTTACATTTTGGACTACATTTATCCCCATCTCCCATTACAAATCTTATCTCCTACACTGACGCTGATTGGGGTGAATGTCCTGACACCAGACGTTCCACTTCTGGTTACTGTGTTTTTCTAGGTGACAACCTTATTTCTTGGTCTTCCAAAAGGCAGCCAACACTCTCCCGTTCCAGTGCTGAAGCCGAATATAGGGGGGTTACGAATGTTGTCTCCGAATCGTGTTGGATTCGCAACCGTCTTCTGGAACTCCATTTTCCTATTCCTCAAGCCACTTTGGTGTATTGTGACAATGTTAGTGCCATCTATCTATCCGGTAATCCTGTGCAGCATCAGCGCACTAAGCATATTGAGATGGACATTCATTTTGTTCATCTCAATATGCTTAGTACGCTGATGCTGCACAGGATTACCGGATAGATAGATGGCACTAACATTGTCACAATACACCAAAGTGGCTTGAGGAATAGGAAAATGGAGTTCCAGAAGAAGGTTGCGAATCCAACACGATTCGGAGACAACATTCGCAACCCCCTATATTCGGCTTCAGCACTGGAACGGGAAAAAGTGGCTCGTGGTCAGGCTCGTGTCCTTCATGTTCCCTCAATACATCAGATCGCAGATATCTTCACCAAAGGACTTCCTCGCATTCTCTTTGATGATTTTCGGACCAGTCTAAGCGTCCGTGAACCTCCCGCTTCGACTGCGGGGGTGTGATAGAATAGAATATCTTGTTGTAATTAGTCATAATTAATTTCCTATAATTAGGTTGTATCATTATTAGATAGTTGACCAAAGGTTACACATTGATGTATATATATTCTATTCAGATTAATGAGAAAGACAACAATTCCATTATCTTACAATTAGCTACCGCCTCTTCATCAAAAACACGCTTAGCGCGATTTGCCGTCAAAAAGTTGATCAGAACTGCATTTTGAAGCATCCCTCTTGGCTCAAACGGGTCCATACTTCAACCATGCATTATTATCTATAAAAACAGATGAAAAATTGTCAAACTCAACAATATGTACACAAAAATGCATATTACACACTATCATGTAAATTGTACAAAATATACACAAAAATAGGGGGATTATTAAGGAAAAACCAACAAAACAAGCCAATAAGTGTCAATTATTCACACTGAAAATCAATACAATTTAGCACTTATCAATACCATACAATTTATTAGATAACATTTTATTTCTTTCGTTATTGCAAGATAAACATAACATAACACATTATAATTAACATAACTTAACACATACAATTACATAATTCTAGACATTTCAACATCTTGTTTATGTCATCAATAGATTTATAAATTGTCGCGTCAAACTTGATCGGTTCCTTTTCTAGCCTATGGTGATATGTTCTCCATATAACTTTCAAATCTTCATTAGTCTTCAACTTAATATGGTTGTATTTCACTTTTCCATCAGTATCAATCTATGGTGTACAAAATTCGATCTTACTCACCTTTTTGTTCTCAGTTTCGGGCACCAACTGGACTAAATGAATCTCTATATCAACCAATGTGACATAAGAAGGATGATAAGTGTTGAGTATCATTGTCTATCACTAGGTGATAATGGACGTGTTCGCATCACCAACATATAACTACAAAACTATGAGGATGTTATTGTTGGGTGTGAATATGGAAGTAGAAAAACGGTCTAGATGAGGGTGAATAGACCAAAATTAAAATTCAACCTCTATTTTCCAAAATCAGAGTGATTTCAAAAATGAGTTGCGAGTAAAAGGTTTTGATGCGAAAATGAAAATTATACAGGTGAATATTGATCAAGCTAACTTAGTTCGTTTCACAAATATCAAAGATTATAATGATGAAAATCTTGGTATGAATTAATTCAATTTGTGTAATCACAATATATGTATACACAATAATTCAATTTATGGAGTTCTAAATTCAATTAGTTTCCAGATTATCAATCATCAATCTTGCATAACAAGTTATCCAATTCCAACAAAATCTAATGCTTACATAATAAATCGCTATCAAGAACAAACGATATAATACAACAGAATTGAAAAATCTAAGCATACAATAAATATATATTTAAATTGCAAGAGAGAGAGAATGGGGGATTACACTGAGATTTATAGTGTTTTTGCATTCGTCCTCGCTTTTCCTATGTGCGCTCTTCAATAGCTTTCCATTAGAACCTATATAGTTTCTTGTTATTCGAAAAATATTTCCAAGAGTTCATACAATCACCAATCCACAATATAGCTGAGAAAATAAATTTTCCAGTTTGGATCTTAACTTGTATACAGCACACTTGCCAAACTCTTCTATGTAATATTTACTCGAATATGTTTCTGGAATCTTCCAATAACATCAATTATGCATCAAGCCTTCGTAAGTAGATACCAACCCCTTAATCCTAGCGATTTCTTGAGTGGTGAAATTATCCGAACATCTGGGAAGAACTTCATTTTATCTGTAGTCTTCCACACAGTCACTATTAAAGCAATTATGGAGAGAATAACCTGCTTTTTTCAATGGAGTTTGTCACCACCATTGGCAATCCCTCAATCTTGCTAACAGCCTGAAAAACTCAAAAAGATCTCCAAGAATAATTAGTTTCAAGTATGTGCCTCCTTCAATCAATTTCATAACTCTCGTTATCAAAATCCGAACTCAATTAAAGTTGAAGATGTCAGAATTTCGTAGCAAGACTTTGAACATTCTAAACAGAGAAAATTGATTTTCACTAAAAATTACACTGAAAAATATGTTCAAAATGATAAATAATGTTTATGAGAAATGATGACAAAAATTTTTTATATGTGCTCAAGATTAAGCACATGATATGGTTGAAAAGGGTAGTTAGATTCGGATTAAGAAAGAAAAGATATGATTTGAATCAAATGAGCAAATGAAGTGAAATGGAATAAATAACTTATTTTTAAAAAAATTGCTAGTTGATTTGGATTAGACTAAGAGTGATTTGAATCAAATGACACGTGATTGGAATCATGTTTAAAATTTGATATGAATCAAATGCCATAGAAGTGACAACGAATTTTTAAAAAGAGTTAATTCGAATCATGTCTAAATATTGATTCGAATCAAATTAAACGGAATTTGTCCCTAGAAAAGTTATTAGAATCAAGTGTAACATTTGATCAGAATCAAATGACTGAGTTCTACTTCTGTCCAATTTGATCATAATGTGTAAAATTGAACGATTTGAATAAATCTTATGAAATCTCAAATTTTCAAAAGAATTTTGAGATTTTACTTTTGAATCAAAGTTTAACTAAAACACAAAATTATTTTATTCGCTAACATATTCTATTGATCAAAGAACATTTAGATTAAGGATATCGATTTTGAGAAGTGCAATTATGAAGGGGACTCAACGAATCGAAATAAAATCAAAGATAAAAACGATAAGACAAACAGCAAAATAATCAAATATAAAAGCTCTCGGTGAATAAAATAGGGACATAGAACTACAATAATAACCATGTTCTCATTATTTGATCAGTATCCTTCCTTGAGGCCTCTCGAGTTGATGTTTCCTTAATCAGATTTATTGATGTTATATGTTCAAACCTAATTTGTCCCACTAAATTTGATGAGATTGCGATATCCATATATGAATCAGTTTGTCTAGTCTAAGATCTTATTTGTGATTATTCAAAATTTATTGTTGAATTTCTACCTTCTAACTTTAAAAGAAACTCCCCCATATGGGTTGGTTTCTGATTTGGCAAGTGTTGGTTATATTTCGTGGGCAGGAATTTCCATTTCGGTTTAAAGACAACAGGGTTTGGTTTCATGATAGTGACACTATTACGTAATCCGAAATTGTAAACTCACTTTTGTTTTTTAAAACCACAACTTGTAAAGTGCAAATCCACGGGCAAGGCCCACATTATGCTCGTAGTTAGAATTAGAATACTAATAGTACACATAAAACCAAACAAAGAGAAATATTTTAAGATCATTTTCTTAAGCAAAAACTTATAGCTCAAATTGTTTTAGAAGTACTATACTAGTATATAAGTAATATAAAACTCTTCATCATGTTCACGGGTCTTCACAAAGACTAAGTTGTAGGACATCAACAAGTGCTTGTGCTACTCAAGTTTCATACGGATAATAAACAAGAATGAAGAGTTTTGCTGCTAAGGTTGAAGAAGGAAGAGAAGGTACAAATGGAAAGCTATCGGTTGGTCCAGTTTATCGCAACCTTCTAGCCAAGCATCGATTTCCACCGTCCGATCCTCATTTAACTACTGCCTGGGATATTTTCAGGTATATAAATTGCGGTTGCAGTTGTAGTTATCAAACTCTTAAAGCCATTTGTATTGACAAATTTTTTTACGATTGTAGTGTCGCAGTCAAAAAGTATCCGCATCACCGAATGTTGGGATGGCGCGAATTTATTGGTGGGAAGGTATTTTTCCAATATTCATATATACAATTGTGAGGTTACAGAGTCGAACCTGAGACGTGATATTCAACTTAACAATATAACATTTGTCAATTGGGCGAGGTGTTACGGATGTCATTTTGATTATTTATGTGTTCATGTAATGTAGACTAAGATAAAGAAATTGATTTTTATTTAATTTTATTATATAGTTTGGATCATATGTGTGGAAAACATATAAACAAGTTTATGATGAAGTCATGCATATTGGTTCTGCTCTACGTTCTTCTGGTGCTCAACCTGTAAGTCTTTGAATTCAAAACAACTTTTTCTTTTTAATTTTGTTGAAGTGAGTTTTCTTAATGTATAGTTGTGGTAATTTCAATTATAGGGCTCAAGAATTGGAGTTTATGGATCAAATTGTCCTCAGTGGATTGTGGCAATGGAGGTTCAAATTTCTATATAAAATTCTCACTATCTTTCTAATTAAATTTCTATCATAATTCATAATCATAAACTTGTTTATGTTATGTTAATGTAGGCTTGTTGTGCTCATAGCTTGATTTGTGTGCCTCTCTATGATACTCTTGGTAAAAAAAATGTTAATATACTTTCTTTTCGATTAATCTGATTCGGAGATCAGTTCTGACATCAAGTGGTTTTAGTTCCCATCCGACTAAATGATGATTTATTCATATATTTATTGATTGATTTGATGCAATTTAAACATCAAATGCAGGGTCTGGTGCTGTGAATTTTATCATAAATCATGCAGAAATAGATTTTGTGTTTGTTCAAGATAAGAAAGCTATGCAAGTAAGAATCACTTTCATTTAATGGCAAATAGAGATTCTAATTACTTAATATAATTGTACATTAACTATTTTTCAGGTTTTGAATCCTGATTGTAAATCTGCTTCGCGGTTGAGAGGTGATTAATAAAAATAATTTTGACATTTCAATGTTATTGTGCTAAAAGAAATTTGATTTAACTTAGTTTTTTTTGTTTGGAAACAGCAATGGTTTGTTTCACTTCATTAACAAATGAAGAGAAAGATAAAGCAATCAACATTGGGATTAAACCATATTCATGGGAAGAGTTCTTACTTATGGTTAGTACATAATTAAATTTGTTGATCTGTATAGGCTCTGCACGCAAGAGATTAATTAATTTTCTGAATGTGGAAGACTCTAATAGACGACAAAACTCTCAATCGAGAAAATAAAATGGCACTTGAATTTTGTAGGGAAAAGAAAACAGATTAACCATTTTACCACCTCAAGCACATGATATATGCACAATAATGTATACAAGTGGAACAAGTGGAGACCCTAAAGGTGTCGTTTTGACACATGAAAACATTACTTATCTTGTAAGAGGAATGGATATTTTCATGGAACAATTTGAAGAGAAGGTAAATGTTATTTTTCCCGGTCGATATAGTCAAATGGTTTTGCTGTGAGATCGTCGATGCAACCTAATAGTTTTGCTATGAGGACGTTTTATGTAGAATCTCATACTCTAACTTCTAACATATGTATCGAATTTTGCATAGATGACTACGGAAGATGTATACTTATCCTTCCTTCCTTTGGCTCATATTCTTGATCGCACAATCGAGGAGTATTTTTTTCATAAGGGTGCCTCTGTTGGCTACTACCATGGGGTATGTTGGTGCATAAGGTTTTCTTTTTGTTTTAATTTCACAAATTTTAATTTATGGAGTTGCTTCTGAATGAAGGATCTAACTGCATTAAGGGATGATTTAATTGAATTGAAACCGACACTGTTCGTTGGGGTCCCTAGAGTCTTTGAAAAGGTTTATGAAGGTAAATTCATAATTTTGAGGTCATGGATTCAAATCTGAGTAAAAACGTTCAATCTAACACTATTGATATTGTTAATTGTACTGACCTAAGGGAACATTTGTTTTAGGCATCAAGAAAGCAGTTGAAGAGCTCAATCCAGTGAGAAAAGGAGTTTTTGGCATGCTCTACAAACAGTAAGTGAAATTTTGTTTATGTGACAATGTTATGAGTTGATGTAACCTTTTCATTACATATCTATATTTTTATGCAGTAAACTTGGTTGGATGAACAAAGGATACAAACATTGTAGTGCATCACCCTTAGCTGATGTATTAGCATTTAGAAAGGTTGTTTCTCCTCTTTTGTAAATCTTCCTTAAATTTTCACCCTTCTCAAGCTTGTTTCGTTGGCGAATTAGGTCAAAGCTCGGTTAGGGGGACGTGTTCGACTAATAATAGCTGGAGGTGCGCCCTTGAGTTCAGAGATTGAAGAATTCTTACGCGTAACTTCATGTGCGTTTCTATGTCAAGGCTATGGTAAGCGCGTCCAAAGTTCATATTAAAAATGTATCAGATGTCTGACACGTGTGATTACATTCAATTACGAGTAACATTGTATGTGGTTGATGTAGGTTTGACCGAAACTTATGGATCAACTACTCTTGCGTATCCTGATGAAATGTGCATGCTTGGTACCGTCGGACCTGTATCTGTATACAATGAACTACAGCTAGAAGAAGTTCCAGAAATGGGTTACAATCCTCTTGGAAATCCTTCATGTGGTGAGATATGTCTTAGAGGAAAAACTGTTTTCACTAGCTACCACAAAAACCCTGAGTTAACAAAGGAATCCATAAGAGACGGATGGTTTCACACAGGTTGAACTAAAATTTCATGTCCAAGTTTTCCAACATTAACTTTTGTTTTGGAGATGTATCATATAGCATGTTTTAAGTTGATTGTGACATTGTTTTGTATCTTCAGGGGACATAGGAGAAATGCAACCTAATGGTGTTGTTAAGATTATTGATAGGAAGAAGAATCTTATAAAACTTTCTCAAGGAGAGTATATTGCACTTGAGCATTTGGAAAATGTCTACGGAATCACTCCAATAGTAGAAGATGTAAGTTTCATAAACTCGCTAATAGGTTTAAATAACATCCGCGGTCGTGTTGTGATCGCGTAAATGTTTTTGTGATTTTGATCGATACAAGTGTTATAATACTGATTGCGGTCGTCGTGGTGCAAATTAACCACAATTTCTTTTCCATCATAAAAACGGTGAACAGTATCGGTATCAGCACCTTCCGATATCATTTTTTCGCTGTGTACAGTTTCTTAAACCTTTTGGTATGTGATTAATTGTATTTTTATGTAAGGTTTGGGTTTATGGAAATAGCTTCAAGTCAGTACTAGTGGCTGTAGTGGTTCCAAATGAAGAAATCACTAAGAAATGGGCATGTTCAAATGTCTATGTGGCTCCTTTCTCTGAACTATGTTGTCTTGATCAATTCAAGAAATATGTGTTATCTGAGTTGAAGTTGACTGCTGAGAGAAACAAGGTAACATATAGGTTGTGAAATAATTCTAATAAAACGAAAGAATGGCTAGTTTTTTGTAACTATTTGAATAAAGAGTATAATTAAGTGCTTATAACATAAGTTCTTTTATTGTTCTTTTGAATGTACCAGCTTAAGGGATTTGAACAAATCAAAGATGTCATATTAGATCCATATCCATTTGACATGGAAAGAGAGTTGGTGACTGCAACAATGAAAAAGAGAAGAAATAATATACTCAAGTATTATCAGGTAATCAGATATCCCTTTCTTACTTATACTTATATATAATTAAATTTCTCACAAATTGATGTCATGTTTAAAAACAGGTTGAAATAGATGAAGCATACCAAAGATTGACATAAAATTTGAGATTTCAACGTGTGGTTAATTATTATCTTTCCCTAAAACTCAATCAGTGTTGATTGTGAGTGCTTCACTATGTAATGTACTAGTATATGCTACTGGCATTTATCAAAGTCATAATCTTGTTTTTAAGAGCCGTCAACTCATAATTTGTTTGCATCACGTTTATACCATCTTTATTTCAAATAGCATAATTATATGCTAAATGACACTTTTCAAAAATTGATCTTTCTTTGGCTTATTCATTTTTTACATTTCTAGTTAACAAATAATATTGGCAATTTTTTAAATTTCTTTGGAGATTAAAAAAAACTTGTTAAAAACATAAATTCGAGAAAATAATCTATCAAATTTCTTGTATTACAAGGATCTTCTAAGTTTGAAGGTGATAAAATGGTGTTGATATAGCAAGGAAGATTGTTATAACCTTCGAATAATCCCTCAGAAACAATCGGGTTAATGCCATTTTTCCCACACCTCAAAAATCCACGAGTGATCAACATAAAAATGACTACACAACAATTGTATAGAAAAATGTTACTGCCATTTTTACCATACCTCAAAAATTCAGAGCAGTGCTTCAAACATATGGATTGCAACAAAGCATAAAATTCATTCTACTAAATGAATGAACCGGACAATCATAGGAAAATCCCAAACAGTAGTACCATGTTCCCAGTTAGGGATGGCAAACAATGCATCACAACTTACAGCAGAGTTCTTAACATAACTGAATAAAAACGAACTGGACGCATTAACCAGAATGAGCGCCCTTTCCCACTCATAAGATTAATCAACACACTTACCTACCTTATGAACTTCTTCCATCCATTTAACACCTACTCGATCAATCTGGACCCTGAAAATTTTATTGAGCAAAATTAAAGCTATGGCTGAAAAAGACACTCAACATATCCACCGTAACAAACTGCAATGTGAATGTTTGTCAACTAAAAATCTCCGAGCTTTACAACATTAAACCCTTTTACGCAACAGCCCTTTTATTCAACAACATTTACATTACCATGGGGTGAGGCCTGGGTAAAATTATAGCATACTTACCCTTGAGGAGAGAGCCTCAAGATTTGAATCGAATAATTTGAACGAATAAAAAATTAGTAGGTTTGGCAGACTAGGTTGGTAGAATAACTCACCACTTGATAAAGAGTTTTAATATCGATTGTAAGCTTTTGCAAAATCTCCACGCCTATGAAATTCCCCAAAATTATCATGAGGCCTTGTAGGATAAGGCTCTGTATTGTTTGAGAACCTGTTCCTTGATTCCAAAGGTAAATTGTTTCCACCATAGGGAGGATTGGCAGGGGACCTATCATAGTCAGCAAAATTCTGCTGTTTATAACCACGATACCCAGGAGACATTTGTTGGATTGCCTGTTGTTGACGCCTCTGGGCATCAAGCTTAAAAAACTCATCCCATTGTTTTGCGTGTGTGGCACTCACCAAAGAAACTTTGTTCATGTACTTCTCCCTCAAATCTTTAATTGCCTTTGAGCAATAATCAAAATATTATAATCACAAAAAACGGTAATAAACAACCAATAACTGAAATACTTTTAGATTCAAAATTAATGTGAGAACAAGTAAACTTCCGTTTATACTTCCTGTCAATAAATACCAGAAAAAGTTGTGTTGCAAACTAACTAAGTCGCAAGAAAACACAAATAGTTCTGAATAATTATAACTAGGAGCCCTTAGTCAGTCATTAATCTCACAACCAAGAGTTTGACATTGACAGTGCAATCTGATGTGAGACTGTAATACAACACTTGGCCACCAATACCATAACTGGTAACAGAAAATCATCAAATAGATAACGAATCTACATTTGTTGGACTTAATGCTTAATAAAACAGATTTTCGTATATTTTAAAAATATTCAGCGGGATGCTGTGTGCAAGAACAGAAGACTGTTGATTAGGACTCGACGTGTGCAAAAACAAACTATCCAGTGAACTCACCTCACGGTGTTTGAAGTTTTCTTCGTCTTCTTCTCTGTCACGGATTTTCATTAGCTCCATTGCCTCCTTTTTATACTCCAACTCTAATTCTTCAAGAGTCTTAGGTGAAGCAATGTGATCAAACTGTAGACCAGGTTGGATACCAGACTCTCTCCTATGAGAATCCCAACCATCATTCCTGAACGTGCTCATGTTATGATTACGCCCATCAAATGAATTATAAGAGCTTCCTGCATGTGGGGCTGCTTGTCTTGGAGATCTTGACTGGCTTGAACGACCTCTAGGTCCACTATTCCCATAAGCTTCATGAAATGAAGAGTATGTTAAAGCACTTGAATCAGGATGCGAACATAGATGATTTTCTTTAATTCAACAAATTGCACTTGATTCAAGATACTAACATAGCTTTAGTTCAAAAAGTATCTTTATAATCTCATACTGAAACCATTGGAGCCAATCCTTTCAGTAAATACTCTTCGGGACGGAGATAATGCTTGAAGTCTAAGAACTTACCTCTTGCTGCAAGTAAATGACAAGTAAGAGCAACAACATTAAGATGCAGACACTGAGGAATAAATTCCACACAAACACAGATGAAATTCTAACAAGTTACAAACATGAAATTACCAGCTTTCTAACAATGGCATAAAGATATCCTAAGCTGTCCCTACCTTGTGGAGAATCTCTTGAAAACTTTTGACTGTCCTCTCGAACACGGTCATCGACAGCCCTCTCTTGCCTGCCAAACCTTTGCTGAAACTGGGGTGCATTCCGTGGTGTAGAGTGAGATCTCTGAGGCTCAGAACGCTGAAATCGGGCATTGACAGGACTTCTCTGAGGTGGTGGTGACCTTGATCGTTGTGGTGGCGGTGACCTTGATCGGTTCAGGTGAGAACTGGAAGATCCTTTTTGTTCACCTTCCTCTCTTATCTTATGCACAGCATCAACACCTTTAGACATAACCAACCTATCCTTACTGCTAACAATAATGAATTTCTCGTCCATCTTAATTTTGCAGCCAATGTCCCTTTCAATCTTAGTTATAACTTTCTCAGTGAAAAGTGCTCTTACATTTTTGTCTCTTGCAGGTATCCTTTGAAATAATTCTTGAGACTTATGGTTTGCTCCAAGGGTAGATGGACAACCCTAAATTGTCAAGTACAACAATAGCATTCAACTAAAATGGCAATGACAAAATATTTTAATCAACTAAGACCTATTTGGATATACAATCTAATCAAGCGTACTTACCATACTCCAAGGGTAGATAGACAACCCTAGCATGTCAAAAGCAATAATATCATTCAAATAAATGGTGATGCAAAAAACATTTAACCAACAAAGGTCTTGTTTTGATAATGAGTTTAATTAAGGCTATGTTTCGATTGATGGACTAGAAATAATGGAGCAGAATAGAATATGATGGAATGGAGTGGAGCAGAATGGAACGAAACCGAACAAATCAGTTCATTCCATTGCATACACCCCAAATTGGGGGAATGAAAATTGAAGAGAATAGGATGAAACGGACTACATCATGTTCCATTCCGCCCTATCCATTATTTGCAAATCCAAACAATGTAATCCGATTATACACCACTCCATTTCATTCCATCACATTCCACCAATACAAACATACTTAAGTGTGCCTATCATATAAGTGCTTACTTCTAAGCTATTATCACATAAGTTATAAGCTGAAAATAAGCTGAAAACAGCTCATGGACATGCCATAAGCCATTTTTATCGGCTCTCCCAACAGGTCGCTGAAGTGCTTATAATAGATAAGCTCAAATAAGTCCATTGTCAATACAAAAATACCCTAATGTCCTGAATGAAATGTTACATATCAATGATATAAGTGCTTAACTAAGTTGTGCATCCAAACAGAGCCTAACAAAACAGCAACAACAACCCTTCATATTACAAATCACACAGTTAACAAACCTGAGTGAAATGACCTGATTCGCCACAGAGTTTGCAAATCATTTCTTCTTCTTTTCTTTTCTTCCAATTTCTCTCAGTAGCTTTGGATTTAGCTTCCCAGACCTTAGCATCACGGCTGATGAAACCAGTTGGGATAGCATTAGGGTCACGAACTTCATCCTCTTCGTCGGAACCAGGATTCGACCTTTTGTTTGATTTTGCTTTCTCTTGAGCAGATCCAGATCCTAGGGGACCAGTGTACTCTTTGTAAAGATCACGAAAATCGTCATCGATGTCTGGATCGGGGATATTGGCCATTGATGAATACTCTCTCAGAGAGAAGTGGAACACGCGAACATAAGATGAAGAACGAAACGAAGATAGATAGAATGGTGTTGTGGCTGCCAAAGATTTAGGGTTTTTTTTTTCAGATTTGGGCTTGTTTTGTTTGTGTAATGGGCTTTATGTTGGCTTGTGATTGCGAAGTGAAGATTTTACTCCATACTCCTACCTTTATACCCACATTCCTACACTCAAAAATATTGGACCAAAATATCCTTACTTAAATATCTATAATTTTAACATTTTTTTCATTTTCACTTCCATTTCCCACTTTCCATTTTAAGACTTCCGGAGTGCTCTGAACTTTTGTTACAAACTGGAACTCTTCTACAAACACTTCCGGAACACATTTGATTTGTTTTACATACCGGAACTCTATCCTGAAGACTTCCGGTTCACAAACTTTTGAGTTTGTTCACCGGAACTCTTTCCTGAAGACTTCCGGTTCACAATAAATTTGAGTTTATTCACCGGATGTCTTTCCTAAAGACTTCTAGTTCACAAAAAATTTCTGGTTCATTGTTTTTTTAATTTTTAATTATATTTATTTTTTTAATTTTTAATTATATTGATTTTTTTTTCAGTGGTGCGCACACGAGGCAGAGATGGTAGGATCCCTCGTGGACTAGGACGGGGCGAGTTATCGAGGATGGCTGAAGAAGAGCATTTTGATGCATCTGCATCAGCATCCGAGCCAGTTGGATATCCAAGAGGACCGTATGATACATCTCTGTTAGTTAAATACGAACAGA